ATTTCTAATCAAATTTTAAAAAAACCAATTAGAACGAATTTATAACTTTGTAAATACATTTAACTTGTATATATTTAGGTTCACTTGAACATGAATGTCGGTATTCCTATTAATTTTATGTGGTGTTAACACAACAATTCCTGTCAACTGGTTATCATAAACTTAAAAAAATGTACTAATATGATTCCAGTGTATGTTTTTATATTTACTTTCATAAGTTATATGAAAACATAAGTCGATGAAAAACACAATATACCATGGCCAAAAGTATTAGAAAAACGACGAAATATAAAAACAATAGCAATACAATGCAAATAAGTTTGAGGAAAACAATGCCCGACATCAAACCTGGTAGATTTCATGTACTAAAGCAGGTAGTCATATCTTCTTAAAAAAGTGGCATCTGTTTTCCAGGCAATACTTGAGTCTGAATTCAAACATGTTTTCTTCTATATACTGTTTTGATACTCACTAATTAGTTCAAAAAAATTAATATGATCAATTCATATAATTAATTTACTTATATAATTAACTAGTAAAGTTAATTAATTTCAATGACTTATAAATATGATAATGATTTCATTAAAAACAATTTTTTATTATTGTTGGGCTGATCGTCCATCTGAACTTGAATTTTTGTTTTCAAACACTGCACTTTCTGTACTTAACTATTTCATGTAGTTTAAGTGACAGGCGTATCAAAAGCATAATTTTAGGACAGACGTTGCTCATAATATAAATATTTAGTGTTATGTTTGTTTAAATTGTTTAGTCAGTTGTGTTGTTTCTCTGTGTTGGTTGCTGGATCCCAATTATATATACATGACATATATACCCATTATGTCTGTTTGGGTTGTCCACCCATTTTTGACCCCATAACGGAACTATAAACAACAGTGAAGTAAGCGATTTCGCTAGCTTTAGAATCAGGTTTAACCAACCATTTTCTTTTGAAAATGCATGTAATAAAGACAGGAATATGAAAGTTGTTTCCATTTATTCCGTTGGTTGATATAGTCTAAGGTTTGAATTTATCAGGTTTTATGACTTTCTTCTTTTTTAATTTACCTTGGAGTACAGTATTTTTGTTAATACTTTTTTTTCTGGACAAATAAATACACAATATATGTTATAGTTTTGTGAAAAAGACAAGAAATTAAGATATACCTTTTTTAATGTCATGTTGTAAAATCATATTTGTTCATATAATTACACCAAACATTAACGACAATGGCACATCATACAGTTGTTTCTGAATAATTTCGCATTGATATTTTCAGATTCAAAAATACAATTACTGTGAAAAGATGGATAGGAAGAGGATACATAAATGTCAACATCCTACTTATGACACTTTCATTTGCAGTAAATGTGTGTATATATTTAAATAGTGTAATGATTATCACAAACATAACAACACAAACTGTAATATTTGTTTTTAAAAGTGACGTTGCCACATGTACGAAAAATCCCTCCGTTGTCCTTGTTATCGCCAGAGTTGAATACCAGTCACCTGGCATCTCTCATCCCTTGTCAGGATTTGGCTTTACTATGGGTCCTTTTAGGATTGATCAGCTCTTCAACGTTTATATGAGTATTTGGATTCTCACATATTTTAGTTCCGAGCATCACCCAAAATACATAAAGTTTCGAAATGCGCAACTGGTGCAGTCAAATTGGTACTGTTAAAGTTATTGTCAATGTAAAGCTAAGAAAGGAACTAGCCCAATCAGTTGTTAATTGATACATTGTTTCGAATTCGTTAACATATGCGTCTTATATCGACGAAACGCGCCATCTAGCGTACAAGATTACAAGCCATATATAATTGATGAGGTTTTACAGCCACGCAGTCGATGCCACTCCTAATGGAAGTTTCTTCCCCGAGGGTATCACTAGCAAAATAACCAGCACTCTTTTGTTGACATGTTATATAATTGATATGTACATTATTATGTAAAATACTGTTTATGAAATGTTGAACTGTTCGAAACGCTAAGGTTTTTCTACCCCAAGGCCGTATTCGGTACAACCTTTTTGAATTTTCGGTTTTTAATGCCCTGTAACTTGTATTTGATATGGCCTTCCAACTGTTTTCATTCAAGCGTCACTGATGACTCTAGTGCAATCAAAACGTGTTCGGCGAACAAAATTATAAGCACGGTATATCTTTGATTCTTTCGTGACTTTTTGCAACAATTGTTGCTACACAATTCAACTAAAATCTTAATAGATGAACAGTCATAAAACATGAAAATGGATTCCTTATCTATTAAAAAATGTAAATGACAGTTCATGACATATGCGTCCGAAGCGTTTTTCTGAATATAATATTACTATTAACGGTCAAAGCCTAATATTTAAATGAAATGTATAAGGACCGGAAAACATTAAGAGCGGCATATCCTAAAGGGATAAAAAAATATACAAATCGATCTACATGATCTAAAGTCAACTTTATATAAACGAGTAATAACCTTAGTCTCTTAATAATTTCTAAATTAATAAACGGACAATTTCAGATTGCACCTGTGCTAGTTCCAAATTCACTTATAATCCGGCTGGCCACGTTATTACCGGAGACCTCAACATTGTCAATAACACTTCCCTTCGAAATTTGTTATCCAAAGGTCAGAAATATCGTGAGCCTAAATCCATCAATTGGAAACGCAACTTCAAAATACTGATGGATTCAGTCGAGGATGATGCCAGGCAATGGGCTAAACACAAGAAAGAAGACGTAGATACTCATTCCGAATGGATTAAGGCTGTGAGGTCGATGATACAAATCCGAATTAAGAAACTAAATGGGTCTATCAATACCCACGCTACGTCAATTTTTTAAGACCCAAATGTTGCAAAACACTTGTCCAACCTCCATGACAAATATGTTGTTCTCCCCGCAGATAAAGCCCCGAACAACATCGTTTTTTGTGTAAATATCATTACATAAACTGCTTGATAAATAAATTAGGTATTGACAATTCATTTGGAAACTCAACATATACCCTCACGACACTTACCAAAGAGGATATCCTGGATAATCATAGGTCTGTTCTATGTTCCTTTGGAATTTCAACCAAAGATGAAGACCTGGATCTTCCATCACTGTATTGGATACCTAAACTACATAAGTGTCCTTACAAACAACGGTATATTGCTGGGTCTTTCAAGTGCTCCACGAAACTCTTTCTAAATTATCAACATCTATTTTATCAGCAATCAAAGCCGGGCTCCAAAGTTATTGTGAAACTGCCTATTCTAGAGGTAGCGCGAATCAGATGGATACTAAAAAATTTTAAGATCTTTTAGAGTACATACAATCTAAGGTAAATCCTACTGTATACAGAATCACTCTGATTCAAACAAAAAATTCTCTGAAACTGACATTCATTGTCAAGATGCTTGATTTCTTGATTGACAACATATTTGTTACGAGGACGTGTTTTTCAACAGACTGTCATAATTATTAAGAGGCTGACTTCTTACAGGAACTTCTTAGGAAGAAAGATAAGCAGTTAGCAATATCCTTTAACTTTACGTTCCGCTATAAAGATGATGTTCTCTCACTAAATAAAATTTGGTGCCTATGTTGAACGAATCTATCCCATCGAACAGTTAAGTCTGCCTCATATCTTGACTTACATCTAGAAATTGGCAATGAGGGTCGGTTGAAAACAAAACTTTACGACAAAAGAGATGATTTCAGCTTCCCAATTTTGAACATTCCATTTCTCTGTAGCAACATTCCTACAAACGGAGTATATATCTCCCAATTGATACGATATTCCCGGGCTTGTATTTCCTATCATGATTTCCTTGATAGAGGATTGCTGCTCACAAGGAAGCTATTAAACCAAGGGTTCCAAATGGTGAAGTTGAAATCATCCCTTCGTAAATTTTACGGACGCCATTACGAGTTGGTTGACCGTTATGGAATAACAGTTTCACAGATGATATCGGATATGTTCCTTATGTCGTAACTACAATACCTTTCCCTTTTCACGAATGTGACCTACCGAATAAGACTAATTACCGGATTTGTAATAACAAAAGCAACACGACGGGTGCCACATGTAGAGCAGGATCTGATTACCCTTCCGGAGCACCTGAGATCAACCCCAGTTTTTGGTGGGGTTCGTATTGCTTAGTCTATAGTTTTCTATGTTGTGTCATCTGTACTATTATTTGTCTGTTTGTCTTTTAATTTTTGGCCATGGCGTTGTCAGTTTGTTTTCGATCTATGAGTTTGACTGTCCCTCTGGTATCTTTTGTCCCTCTTTCAGAAAGATACATGTACGTTATAAATCATGTCAGTAACGAAGCACTGACTACTTAGCTGATGATACCTACAGAGATTAAAGGGGCATTAGCTGTTAAATTCGTGGTCACCGATTCGACTCAAAAAATCATATTTTATTTATAACATACTAAAACATCTATCCAAATTACAAAAAATCCTAAAGAAACAATTTGCGATGCATGGACTAGTTATATTGAATGAAATTGATAAAGTGTTGTTTTCTTTTTTTACAGCAGTGGGTCGATACCGCTTACATTAACATTAATAACCTTTAATGGACAATCATTCATTACACAAATATACCAATTAGTATCTCAATATCTACTGAGATTATAAGAGAATTTGTCATTGTTTATTATTTTAAATGTTTTTATAAGATTCAACAAACAAGCAGATTTCTTAATATATATTTATTAATTTTAAGCATTAACAATTTATCTGCTCAGCTTAAATTCTTTCAACAACGAATGATGTCATGTTGTTCAGGTATGTCTCGATGAATTTCTGAGGTATGTAGAAAATAGCTAGGCTGGTCCTCCATCGAAATTTGAATTTTAAAACACTGCACTGTTTGTACAAGACCATGGTCTTGTTGTTGTCCTTCTCTTTGTTTTCGTTTTTGTTTCACAATATCTCATCACGATAAGGGAAACAGCATCCTTGCATCAAAAGTACCACTAGATATAAATTGAATTCATCAACAGTCAATATCCACACTTTCATTGCTGGATTGAGAATATATGCGTCCAGATATATCTTGTGAATCTGTCGTATCTGTACTTGACACTGAACTCATTCGTAGATCGCCTTTAAAATATGGTACTGATAGTAACTTATTCGTCTTTACCGACCTTTTGTTATGTGTTCTCATATGACGTGTAACCATATCGCGTCTGCAAGCAGCATACGGACACTGAGGACATCGATATGGCTTTTCACCGGTATGGGTGCGTTTATGTGTGTTTAAATGGTCACTACGGCTAAACACTTGTCCACAATCACTACATTCATATGGTTTAATGCCTGTGTGCAATCTCATGTGACGAGTCAACATATCGCTACGAGAAAAAGATCTATTGCAAACTTTACATAAGTGTAGTTTTTTATTTTCACCGTGTAAGATAGTTTCTGTTGGTAAGTGTTTTGCCATGTGTTTTGCTAAGTTATCAAATGAAAGAAACATTTGATTACACACTGGACATTTGTAAGCATCAGAGTCGGACAAAGCTCTACGCTGATCACGATTTTGTTTTAAAGTTGAGAATTTGGACGTTATCTGAGATAACGGCATACTGATATTCTCATTAGGAAAACATCCAAGTGGAGACATTGCCATTTGATTCAGTTCTGACATTGAGTTATATATCCTTGCTCTCGGCGGAAATTCAAAATGAATTCCAGGTGACATACCAGGACTAGGTGTATATAACTCTGGGTCTGAAATGAAACCCGTAAAAGGGGAAGACTTATTGAAGTCGAAAAAAAAATGGCATCCTTCTTGAACTGAGCAAAACGGTATTGACTTTGCAGACAACATAAACTGTGGTGAAAGAAAACCTGGCAAATGATGATGCATATTCGAATGTTGTGGTTTTGTATTTTGAAGTCCATGTCTTTCTTGTTCTGTAGTGCCGATCGCAATTTTCGACCCAAAATATTTCTGAGAAGCAGGACATTCAAACTGATGAACTGGTTTTTTAGTAGTTGTATGTTCAGATCCTAAACATTTGGTAGTTATTGGCTGTACTTGCTGTGTGAATGACATCTTTGAAAATTCTGGAGAACCTTGTGGTGACCGTTTTTGTGTCTGAACTTTTAATGCAGACTCCATAAATACATCACTGTCTTCTATTGCATTTGTTGATGTTGATTCAGATTGTAAAGATCTTGACTTACTTGGTGAATGCCCTGGAAAATCCGCAATATTACGTTCCTCAAATGGTGAGTTTGAAGGAGACAGAGCAGTTTCCGTCAGGTCAAAAGTTGAACCTGAGGATGAAGAGCCACTACGTCTCTGGATTAAGTATCGATGTTGAAAGTTTTTCTTTATATTTCCTGGAAACAATGCCCGTTTATTAGACAACGCTACCTCTGCGAGTTCCTCGTTGGCCATAACGTCTTTATAAACGTGTTGATCGAAGTGCTCTTGTACCAAGATTCTTGGATTGACTGATAAGTATAATTGTTTCGCCTCTTTTTATTCAACAAGGTGATAATTGACCGGCATCTCTGAAAGAGTGTGAATAACTTTGATGTCATATCCAAATCTTCTTGTGTATGATATAAAATGTTAGGTGAACTTTGAAAACTGCATGGAATTAAAAGATCTTTGTACTCTCAAAGCTGTAGCATTCCCATAGTTTCTTTTATGTAAACCAACTTATTTTCGAGTATACTTTATATCGCGTCTAATTTAATTTCGAGATTTCCTAATTGTCTGAATTTATTGATATAACGAAAAAAAGTTTTTAATAATCGCAACGATTTATATTTGCTTCATCTTTTTAATTGCGAAAATAAATTGCTCGCGAAAATAAGTTAGTTGTAGAGAATATGTATAGCTTTTTGTTCAATTTAATTTATGATTACATTTATTAGACACACGATCATGCCAGACATCATCTGTTTCGTAAAATATTGAACATCTGGTCACTTAAGTCTCCGTTTATAATCTGCTTGACATCTTTCTGCTTGTCGAGATCACTAGTCAGTCTTTCTTTAACATTTGTATCAAACTGACCAACTAACTAAATTACGATATTTCATGGCGTCTGCTATTCAGCCTTTTTCATTTTTGTCAGTTAAACAAAAATCCCCTGTATTTCAAATTAAATCTTAACAAAACAAATAAAACGAATTTATAATTATGTAAATACATTTAACTTATGTATATTAAGATGCAACATGTCAAATTGCACATGAATGTCGGTATTGCTATTAAATTTCGTGGTGTAAACACAACCATTTCTGTCACTTGGTTATCATAAACTTAAAACACGCATACTAATGTTCTTCCAGTGTATGTTTTTATATTTACTTTCATTATTTGAAAGAAAACCAAAGTCATAAAAAACCAGAATATTGTGGATTCATTTATTTTCGTGGGTACCAATTGGGTAAAACACATATTTTCGTTTATACTTAATTACGAGGTTTTGGCAAATTCTGCATACAAACAACCTATAGAACATTTACAGTTCGTTGAACTTTTAAAATTCGTGGTTCACCATACCCACCGAAATCCACGAAAATCAGTTTCCAAAGAATAAACAATCAACCGTCTACAATGACCAAAACTATAGAAGAAAAAAAAACGACGAAACAAAAAACGATAACAAAACAAAATGCTTATAAGATTGAGAAAAACGATCCCTGAAAACAAACAGGGTAGATTTCATGTGCTCAAGCAGGTAGGCATATTTTGCTAAACTAGTGGCATCCGTATTACAGGCAGTATCTCAGCATTGACTAGTGAGTGGATGGAAGTATCGATTTATGAAAGTATATGCGACAGTTATGATAGCTATGAAAATTTTCACGAGTCTAAACTCGAATATCCGTTCTTCTATCTACTCGTCCTACCTGTTTGATACTCACTAACTCTGTTGAAACAAATAGTTAATATGATCAATTAATATGATTAATTGATTCATATTACTGATAAGTAGGATTATTTTATAATTAATCAATAAGATAGTGATTTCATTAAAAACAATATTCCATTATAGTTAGGCCGATCGTCCATCAGAACATAATCTTTGTTTTCATGCACAGCACTTTCTGTACAAAACTATTTCATGTAGTTTCAGTGACACGCGTAGAAAAAATATAAGAAAGACATTGCTTATAATAACATGAGAAAAACAGATGATAAAATTTGTAATTCTTTTTTTATTTCTATGAATGGTTGCATGGACATATTCAACATAAATAGTTATATACTCATTAATTGTAAAATTAAATTCTCAAAACTATTTTTTTTACAATATTATTATAAAGGACGATTAAGTAGTAACTTAATGATATACGGAAAAGCACTTTTATTTATCCGGAAAATTGTAAATTGTAATTTATACAAATGCTTATTCAAGAGGCATTCCTAAGCTTATTATTTATATTATTAAGGGTTTCAAAGGAGAAAGTCGTATCATTAAAAGATTTGTCGACAACTTTACTGAAATAAAAAAAATAATATGTCAAACAAAAAAAAAAGATATAAGAAATTAACAGTTAACTGCTCTAATTAAATCATAATCTTTAACGTCTATTATTGTCAAAACATGAATAAGATTATGTACTTAATGTTTTAAGCGTAGCGAGTAGGTTACGTGCTATACCAGCTAATTATCGATACCAACAAATGGCTTGAAAATACCAGATAAGATTCCAGGAAAAGAGAGACGCATTATACAAACGGGACATTCAAACTTATAGTCGAAAATAAACTGACAATGCCATTGCAAAAAAAAAGACCGAAAGAAAAACAACAGTATACACAACATAGAAAACTAAAGACGAACACCTTAAAAAACCGGGGGTTATCTCATGTGCTACGGCAGGGCAAGCCTGTGATAAAACAAAAGATCAAACAAATACAAAATCTTCTGAAATGATTTTAAGCACACCTGAGCACAACGAGTGTTCTTGAAAATAATTTTCATTAGGTAAGTTTGAGACTAAAAGTTGTTTTAGGCCAATAGGATAAGACAACATTTTGTTTATATATTTGTTCAAAAGGCCAATATTTGAAAAAAACGGCAATGATTTATATAACTATTAGCCTATATGGAAGCATGCCATTCCTTAGAACCGGAAAACTATCAGATAATTTTTGGGACGCCTGGTTTAAAATTTTGTTACTTAGTTTCCAAATCGAGATTTACCTACTCTGAGTACCATTATACATTTTAAATACTTTAAATACTATCTGAGGCAAAACTGTGTGCTGAAATAACGTACATATTTATAAATTTACAACCCCGCACTTAAGTTTCAGAATTGAAGCATAATTATGTAGAGGAGTTTGAAAAAGGAAAAGTAGACATTAAGTAGGACAGCTAATATATTAATGTAAAAACATTTAACGTTATTAGGAAATAGAAACACATGTAAATGTTTATAAACAATCATCACAATCTCGGATGAGCTATACAAATTCCGATAATCACTTGCTTTTTAACGCCAGAAGTTATAAATACATAAAATTATACAATTATTTTTGTATTGGTGTTATATTACTATTTTTCGTAAAGAACTAACAATATGCAATTAATCTACCGGAAGTTTCCTAAACTTCTGGTACCTATGAAACGGGGACCTCCACTGAGAAAGCTGTGTTAGCAGCATGTGCAATATTGTTGCTAAATATAATAAAAAGTTGATAGACAAAACACAAACTGTAATATGTCGACTAAAGGCCAATAAGGTGATAATCACATGGTTGTTTTATTAAGATTGTCTTCGTGTGAGAGAACAAAACAAAAACACTGAAAAGCAAAGGTTGTGAGAAATATTTCTATAACTTGATTACACCTCGGAATAAGTTCAATTACAATTGTCCTATTTCATTGTCTGATGCCATAGGTTTAAACTTAATCAAACAAATTAAAATAGGGAACTGTGGTATGTTGTTCATCTTTTCGTTTGTAGTAACGAGTCGTTAGAATTTCGTAATCATTCGATTAGAATAACCATATGATAAGTGTGCTGTTCAACTTGTAGTTAGTTTCAACATTGTGTTAAAAATGCTCAAATTGTCGTTAGATTAAATCCAACTGAATAAAAAAGTATTAAAATTAATTAAACAATATGGCTACTGTAGCAATGCGACAAATTGGTTCCTGTTCGACGAATAAAAAGTTTTACATGCATTTATCCTCTGGAATTGAATTACATCAATGATCAACAATTTAAAGATTGATAATTTGGAGAGTCGTTGAGTTTCTAAATGTTCTCGGTTGATAGTAATGTTTCTTTCGTGTTTTTCACATATTTAGTTTACTTCGAATGATATCCCACGTAACCAGTTCCAGTTATTTGACATTTTATCGCGTCTGGTTATCAGCCTTTTTCTTTTCAGTTTAAAACAAAATCCCTTATATTTCAAATTAAATCTTAACAAATAATAATGTAAATACATTTAACTTATGTATATTAAGTTGCAACATGTCAAATTGCACATGAATGTCGGTATTCCTATCAATTTTCGTGGTGTAAACACAACCATTTCTGTCACTTGGTTATCATAAACTTAAAACAAGCCTAATAATGTTATTCCAGTGTATGTTTCTAAATTTACTTTCATTATTTGAAAGAAAACATAAGTTTATATATTTGTTCAAAAGGCCAATATTTGAAAAAAACGGCAATGATTTATATAACTATTAGCCTATATGGAAGCATGCCATTCCTTAGAACCGGAAAACTATCAGATAATTTTTGGGACGCCTGGTTTAAAATTTTGTTACTTAGTTTCCAAATCGAGATTTACCTACTCTGAGTACCATTATACATTTTAAATACTTTAAATACTATCTGAAGCAAAACTGTGTGCTGAAATAACGTACATATTTATAAATTTACAACCCCGCACTTAAGTTTCAGAATTGAAGCATAATTATGTAGAGGAGTTTGAAAAAGGAAAAGTAGACATTAAGTAGGACAGCTAATATATTAATGTAAAAACATTTAACGTTATTAGGAAATAGAAACACATGTAAATGTTTATAAACAATCATCACAATCTCGGATGAGCTATACAAATTC